AGCTAACGAAGAGCCAACTCAGCACTCCACGTGGCGTCACGTAGTTATTCTGAAGCCCAGTCACATAGCCTACATGGCTTACCACGTCATTTAAATTTTTATTTTTTATTAATTAAAATAAATATATGCAAAAAAGTCCATAAATATGTTTTATATATTTGTAAAAAAAGGTTTCTTCTTTTTCCCCAAACTTCTCTCCATCTGCAACTCCTCTCCCACCTTCTTCTTTCCATATTCCCATCTTTTAGGCATTTATTCCTCATTCTCATCCTTTTCCTACATCCACCCAGCACCCTTACTATCTCCCTCTCTACTACCTATTCTAACACCGATCTCCAAACCCCTCCCTCTTATTATCCAACCCTTGTCACTTAGTCAACAAATTAGCAAGAAAAGGACACAAAATATCCTTCTTCCTACCCAAAAAAAACTATAAATATTTTTTAGTGACATTATATTCATTGTGATGCAGAAGGGAAGTTCTCTAGTTCCTTCCTTAGTCCCTCCCACATTCTGCGGTGTGAAGCGACAAATTGAGCGAAATGTCGTACCAATTCCAATGTCTCCAACAATTGAGCAAATGTCGCACCAATTCCAATATTCCCAACAATATCTCAAGCGCTCACCGTTCCATTGTTTTCGTTATTTTTCATCCTCCCCAAATGCAACATGCGTCTACTTCGTATGGCTGTCTCAAATGTAATGACTTGCAATTAATATGGTTGTCTCAAATGTAAGAAATTTTCGGTGAAGGATGTGTGAAGTCAAGAATCCCTACATATGGCTGTTGCAATTTATAGGCCTCTTGGCCCTTATTGTTCTGTGTCTATGGATGTTCTTACGACCTAAAAGCCCCTCCTACACTGATGTGCTCCTCTCCATAGAACAGCCCTCTAACTCAAATTTGGGGTACACTGAGATCTACTTCAAGGGTCTGGTAAAGCACTGCGCTTTCGCTCTCTCTCTCTCTCTCCTTTTTTGAGTGCTGAACCACTTCGTTGTCCCTTTTTCTCTCAAACCTTCTCTCTGAATCACCATTTTCTTCTCCTTTCAGATCCGATTTCGCCCTAATCTTCTTTTTTCGCCGTCAATTTCCACCCCTTGTCGTGTTTTTTTGTAGTTGGGATCTAGGGCTTCAAATTCATTGTTATAATTGCAACGCTTCTTTTTTTTTTTGGGTTTATGTTTACTGTGTTTTAGGGTTTCAATTTTCATTGTGGTTGACTTTGATTTTTGATTCGTTCCCTTTTTTTTTTACAAATCGTTTTCTGGGGTTCCATTTATTTGAACTTGTTAGTCTGTGATTAAAAAAGGGGCAAACTATAATGATGGGGCATGGGGAGAAAGAAGGGTTGGGATTAGGGTGGAGCAGTTACGGAAAGTGAAGAGGGAGAGGAGTTGATTGAGGAAGAAGAAGGGTTTATTTATAAATATATAAAATAGGTTTAGGAGTTTATTTGTAAATTTTAATTTTAAATAAAAAAATAAAAAATTTAAATGACATGGCAAGCCATGTAGGCTGTGATTGGACTTCTATGTGGTGCCACGTGGAGTGCTGAGCTGGCTCTCCGTTAGCCAGCTCAACACTTCACAAAAGGGGGTTAACGGTAGAGACCATTTCCTAATTTTCTACTTTAAAAGGACCACTTCTAAACAAAAATATCTATATTTATAGGGAACAAAAACATAATTAAGCCTATGTAATATTCAAGATTCTCTTTAAAAGGTTAGATGTGTTAGATTTACTCGTATCAGTAGAGAAGCTAATCTATATGGATACCCTTGCTAAATTGGGCCTTGATCTTCTCTCTCCCTTTTATCATGTTGAGATTTCTCTCCCTTCTCTTGTTCCTCTCTTAGAAAAGGACTCTTTATTATTATTATTATTATTATTATTTTAATAAATTTTGATAATTTAATTACAGATAATTGAATTTTACCTTCATCTGATAAATACGATAAGCTAAAGTATTAAATATACTTTTTTTTATGTGAAAGTTACATGACAAAAAATTTTCAATGCCTATTACATACGAACTCCTAATAATCTTGAAACATTTTAAGTAAATTTTTTTTTCATAATTAAACTATACTTTTTTGAATGTCAATAAAAAATATGATCAATATATAATATATATATATATATATATATATATATATATTAAGGGAATAATATATCATAGTTTCAATTGAAGAAAAACAATAAAAGGTAAGATGCAAAGTAATAGCATTGTATTGGTAATAATATAAGTAAATACCCTTTTACAATAAAAGCATTAATACTCTTATAATTTTTTAAAGGTTCCCTATTTCTTGATAGGTCACGTGACTTCGCAACCGGCATGTAGTTTAGTTGGATGATTTTTTATTAAATGAGCTATAATTAATTTATTTTTTAAATTCGTTTTTAATGAATCACAAAATAATTAATGATTTTTTATTCATGCATCCTTTATGATTTAATTCATAATTTATTCACTGCATCTTTTTAAAATAAAGAGAATAAAACTATAGGGAGCAAAATCAAAATCAAATTATAAGAACTAAACCTAAGCTTATAAAACTATAAGAATCACAAACGTTTGAACTGGGATACTTGTGAAACTCTTAAACAAAAACGAAGGTGAGTTAAATAAAAATAAAAAAATTATGAAAGTAGAAGTAACTTAGAAAAATAAAATAAAATAAAATAAAATGGCTTAAACAGATATTTTTATCAATAATTTTAATTTATTGAATCAAATTTTGATCAATGTGTAATTAATGATACGGTAGTTGAAAACGGCTATTTTATTTATAATTTGGTCTAAATATTCTTGAAAATTATTATTGTATTTATACATTAGGATTCCACTTCATGGATTCATCCAGAAATCAAAATAATAAGATTTAAATTATACGTAAAAAATTTCAGTCAATATTTATACTTTACCATTTCTATAAATAAATACTTTAAATTTCACTCGTTTTACAAATAGCTCCTTTTGTTGAATTGAAGAAAAATTACTAGTGAAAATAAATTTTAAATATTTGTTTACTTAAATGTTAGTGATCATTAACTTTCTTTTTTAATAATACCTTTTTTACACATTACAGCATAATTTAAATTTGAATTTAGAAAATGGCTTACACTTAGTGTAAATAAATGCTTAATTTTTTGGCTATAGTAATTTAACTCAACTCAATAAAAACAAATCAATTAGGTTAAATTAATGCTTAAAGTGCTTTTCCAAAAATGCAAAATTTGAGAATTAATTGAAAATAAAATTAAGACATTTGTTTGCAAAAGGACTTAAGTTTAGTCTGATAACATGGTTTTTTCCTTCTTCTTCTTCATACTTTAATTCAAACATTTAGAGATATGAAATCTAATAACAACTATCATTTATATTTTAAACAATACACTATACATTAAAATAAATTAAAAATAAGATATCAATTAAAATCGAAATGTGTACAAATTTGTAATCTAACGTGCTTTGTACGAATTTTAAATTCAACAATTAGATTGAAAATGTTATATTTCGTGAAAAAAATTAGAGATTTTATTTTACAATGTTTGATATTAGATATTGTTTGAAGATAGATTAAAATATAATATTATTATTTGTGATATAAGAGTTGGTGGAAACAATTTGATCACTAGTATCAATTATATATAATATTAGTTTAATTTGATATTTATTGAGTAGGCTTAACTATAATTTTTTTTAATAGGCAAAACATATATTATTAGAGAGGGTTCAAGGAGAACTCAAAATTCATATACACAGAAAAAAATTACTAATTCAGAGAAATAAAAAGTAAAAATATATTTATACAAAGCTAAGACGGATGCAATTTCGTGGGTTCAAATACCAATCAGCTAACAAAATAGCTTCTCCCTTACTAGCAAGTGATAGCCATTTTTTGATACTTTAATTTTAGTAAATTTTTTTTGTTAATTGATTATGTTGAATAATTATTAATTTTTCAATCACTTTTAAAAAATTCCCAAAATAATTTTTTTTATTAAAATATAATCTAAACCAAACAAATAGATATTTGCATGAACCTGTGACATATCCACATTAATTCCATAAAATAAAAACATCTTCAGAAAAATTATTGCCTTGTGTTTGGCTATCAGGATTAGGTAAACTGGAGGGATTTTGACTTGAAAGGTGCAAAATAGGATTTAGCAAACCTGATGGGAAACGAAACAGATGTTTGCCACGGAGTGGGTGGGTAAACGCAATAAAACTAAATATTTATGATCACAAAATTATACTACCCCAAATAAATAAAATAAATTCTATTTTTCTTTTTCTATTCCATTTTTCACAAACCACATTAAATATACCATTCACCACATTTAATACAATAAAATCTTCTTTATTAAAATTTATCTTAATTGAAAGTCTAGAATAGTCATGTGCCAATAAATTCAGGATTATATTAAAATTAAATAAATATACGGTCATAATTAATTTTAAATTATTAAGTAGATTAAAAGTCTATAATTTTAAGTTTGAGTCAAGTAAATATAGTGTTGTTAAATATTTAAAATAATTATCTTTTCTATAATAATTTTTTCGATTTAAAACATAATTATACATACATATAATTTATAAAAGTATAACTTTCTTCATTAAAACATTTTTAATTGAAAATGTAAAAAATATTTTTTAACTATTAATTAAGTAGGAATTTACGTATTTAAAAAATATTTTGCTTTTATTTAAAATTTTAGAATATAACTAATAAACAAAAATAAAAATTATTATCAATACAGTCCAATTATATTTTTATTAATATTTTTAAAATAATTGAAATTATTTTATATTTTTCTTACATACTCTTATACTATTTTACAAAATAAATATAAAATAAAAAATTATTGATTTAACATTTCAGAAGATTTGCACGAATAAAAACAATTAGACAATTCAAAATTGCATAATAAAAACAATATCCTATTAATTAATTAATAAATACATGAATATAGTAACGTCGTGGGATTCATGAGAGAAGGAAAATGGCACAGTCCTCGATCGCCGTTACACTGAACCAGCAACTGTTTAAAAGGACCGTTAGCACTGTGATTACTCACCCTCCATCTGCTGCTGCTTCTCCTTTCGGATCTCGTTCTCTTTCTTCGCTATTCTTCTGTCAGAGGAGAGTCAAAAATCCTCTCACTCTCAAAGTCTCATTCTTTTCTCAAACCGCCATGGGTGAAACTCCTGTCAACGTCGATGCCGGCATGGACGCCGTCCAGCGCCGCCTTATGTTCGAAGACGAGTCTGTTTCCCTTCCTTCTCTCTGTTAATTTTGTGTTTTCAATTACACGTTTATGTTTTCTGTAACTTCTCCCGCATTTCGTGTGAGTTTATTTGTAGCTTGATTGATGTGCGATTCGCATGATTTGAAAACGTTACGAAACGAATCGAGCTCCTCGGTTTGTTTTCTGCGTGCTTTTAATTGTTTGATGAATCTCTTTAATTGTTTAAGTTTAGTAGCTTCGGATTTTCAGTTTGGTCGTTTAAATTTTTTGCTCTCTTTAACGAGTTCTCCGATTTTTAAAGCATATATTTAGAAATTGAGGTTTTGAATGAATATCTACGATTCTGGTGGTTCGGTAATGGGAAGTGGCTTAGCTTTCTCCAGGCGAGGCTTGTGTATGATTTTTTTAGGGATGAGGCTTCTTTGAAGTGAGCTTGTTTGCAGTGCTTTGTTTTTTGTTTTGCCTGGAGTTGGTAATTTTTTTGGTTTTTGAACTTCTGCAGATGCATTTTAGTGGATGAGAATGATCGCGTTGTTGGTCATGAATCCAAATACAATTGTAAGTGGATATTCTGTTGTTGGAAATTTAATTTGCTGTTGCAAGGACTCACTTTGTTTTGCGTTAAAATAATTGTTACAATATTTTTTGGTTCCTTCCATAAATTACAATTCCTGTTTTTCTGACTTCGGTGGTTGTAGAAGTTTTTGTTGCGATTTAGCTGGGGTGAACTAAAATTTTCTAAGAAGACTCTCTAAATATGATGATTTGAGAAAAAAATTACTGACATTGTGGTTTATTTTGTAATTAATCTCCATGTTTAGAAATATCTTGCTGTAACTAAAAGGAGTTAAATCTAAATCTTTTATTTTGCTATATAGATTGGTTTGTAATGATTATGTTTTATCAATTGTGGTTTTGGATTGAATTACCAGCTCTGCCGTGTTTGTTTGAGCTCCTGTGTGCTCACACATATATGAAAGCATATCAAGTGAGAGCATGGTGTTGTGAGAAAGACTCCCCTTGACTGTGAAGACCAGCTCCTCTCATGCTCTTACTTGATACTCTCCCTATATATATCGAACAATTATTAATGATGAACGTAATAAAATTAGTGACAATGTACTATGATTATGCTGTAATTTTAATGCAAACAAATTACTAGATACTGATGAATGATGATGCAAGCCTAAAGTAGCTGCAGATTAATATTTTATATATGCCATATATTAATAGTAGATTTTGATCAAATGTGATCAATGGACAACTGAAATAAAATGTAAATTTCCAGTGGTCCTATGGATTTTGACTTCCTAAAGCAAAAATACTGTCCTTAGATAGCAAGTTTTCTTTTTCTGTCGTTATTGTGCTCTTCCTTTACCTTCAGACCTGGTTAATTCATTACTTTGAGCTTCAATAATTTTATTAGGTCATTTGATGGAAAAGATTGAATCTGAAAATTTGCTGCATAGAGCTTTCAGTGTATTCCTGTTCAACTCAAAGTATGAGTTGCTACTTCAGGTATGTTTGTTCTTTGATATTTTACTGGCCTCATAAGCATGTAGTATTCATCTTGTTTAAACGCAAACCTATTGATTTCCAAAGCATCAAGTAAAATGGGAACGTCATTTATTGTCTCACATCTTTGTCATTGTTAACAAAATTTATTTTTATCTACTGGTTATCATGTGTACCTTTATTTCTTAATACTGTTTCAGTGTTTTGTTTATATCAATTAGAAAGTTTAATGTCTGCATGCAATCATTTTATGTCTGCTAAAGACCTAGTGCTCAATACATGAAGGGGAAACAGCTTTTTGTTGTTAAACTACTTCAGTGCCGTTCTTTTTCAATTGAAGTTTATCCACAAAAATAATTCATTGAAGCAGTAATTGATTGATTTTAAGAATAAGGAAAATCAATAAAATACCAAGGAGTAATTAATTGAGGTTTCTCCACACAAATAATTGTGTAAAGTGGTCATAGCAGTAACATTCATTTTGGTACCAGTAGTTAATTTTTCTATTCTGATAACACCTTCATTATGACTTGTACATTGAACTATTTAAATGCAAGCAACATGTAACATTCTCTATGATGCATATGTGTTTCTGTGTCTTAGACTAAAAGTTTTAATCCGGTTGTGTTGACTGTGATTCTGTGTTTGTCATGATGAAGCAACGGTCTGCAACAAAGGTAACATTCCCTCTTGTGTGGACAAACACCTGTTGCAGCCATCCACTGTACCGTGAATCTGAGCTTATTGAGGAGAATGCCCTTGGTAGATAATGTGTACTGTACCCTTTTTTATATGTTCTAAAGACTATATATCTACTTTGTCATTGCTGCTTTTTATAAATTTTTCTTCCACCTTGCATTACCAGGAGCAAGAAATGCAGCTCAGAGGAAGCTTTTGGATGAGCTTGGTATTCCTGCTGAAGATGTACCAGTTGATCAGTTCACCCCATTGGGTCGCATGCTTTATAAGGCACCTTCTGATGGCAAATGGGGAGAGCATGAACGTAAGCCAATTTAATTGTTTTCAAGTTCACCGCAAGCTGATAGTGTTGTATAACCAACTAGGGTTAATTCACAATAATTTAGGCAACGAAAACCTAAATCTGGACATGCACCAATAATAGCTCTTCCAGTCCTATCTGGGGTATTTTTATTCCAGCAGCATTGGTCCTAATCTGCTGATATTGATGCTAATTCTAACATGATATTTTCTTGTGAGTTTATGGCTGTGGAAGGAATGTTTAGTAATTGACAACTTTTCTTTATCCTCTCCTTGATTGCAGTGGATTATCTGCTTTTTATTGTCCGGGATGTTAACGTTAATCCCAATCCTGATGAAGTGGCCGATATTAAATACGTGACCCGTGATCAGTTGAAGGAGCTGTTGAGGAAAGCTGATGCAGGTGAGGAAGGTCTGAAGCTGTCTCCTTGGTTCAGACTAGTTGTGGACAATTTCTTATTCAAATGGTGGGACCATGTTGAGCGAGGGACTCTTGGGGAGGTCGCTGACATGAAGACCATTCACAAGTTGACATAAAATCACACAGCTCGCGGCATGTTATGAATGGTAGCTGTATTCCGAGCAAATAAGAACGAAATTGAACCTAGGTACTTCGAACAAATTTCGGAGCAGTGACCCGTATGATGCTAATCTTTCTGTTATTATGATCGCTATGCTAGAACATTAACGTCTGGTTGTAATCTTAAACTAGCAGAAAGTTTATTTGTCATATTTAGGATTTTGGGGCATGCTAGCGCTCAATAATGAACTCTTTTAAATTGTTCTGTTGTCATTTAAAGCTGTTCTTAGAAATACCATGTTCGTGAGTCGGGATTTGAATCTGATGTTTATGGTGTTGGTGTCGATTGTTAGCAGGTTTTATTTACCTTCTTTAGGGGTCTCTAACTGGTTAAAGATGCTAATAAATAATAATTTTTTTATTAAAAGTCTTGCAAGATGTGTTAAAAATTATAAAATAAATACATCTTTATATTTTTTAATAAAATAATTTTAGGTTTGATTTTTAGGAAATGTTAAACAGTACTTTTAAAATACTGGTTAAGAAATTAAGAATATAAATTTTAAAGTATCTTAATATAATTCTAGGTAAAATGTTATTTTTAATTCATTAGTTAGTATTTTTAGAGTATTGATCCGTAAGAAAGTTAGAGAGTTAATTTTTGAATGAAAGTGAGAGTAAGAGAAAGTTTATTTGATGATATCCTTTATTTTGGAATTTTAAATGAAAGAAGAATGTTGATTTGGTTTTAAAATTTTTAGATGAAAAGAGAAGATTTTATAAAATATATTTTTGACCTTTTCTAACTTAATTTTTTATTTTAATCATTCTTGCTGTTTTCTTTTTTTATCTTCTTTATCCTTCAATTTTTTTTATTCAAACGTCCAAAATTAATTAGAATTTTAAGACACGGATTAGTATTTTTCTTATTTTTAATAGAACAGGATTAGGGATCGTTTCTTTGTAAAAGCTAGGATCAGTAAATCCCGTGATCACGTGTAGTATAGATCCAGATTGCAATCTTCTTTTCACAGCGAAGCATGAGTTGTAATTAGCTCAATCTACTCTGCAATCTGCATTAAAGAAAAGCTCACATTGCTGCTGCTGATGCCCATGCCACAAATTACAAATTGTGAGTTGACACGGCCACAGCAAACTATTACAAATTAAATAATAATAAAATAAGTCAGCGAGCTTCTTCTCCTTTACCATTCATTGCCCATTTGTCCATGTCCAAGTCATTCAAGTTCTAACAACTGTTTTTTCTTCATACTGTTATTTTTTATAAAATATCAATAATTTTGTGTTTAATATAATGTTAATATTTTAATGTAAATATATAATAAAAATATATTAAATGATAAATTGTTATTAAAAATCATAATATTATATTTTTAATTAAAAGATTATTGTACGCTTTTTATATATGTAGTTTATCCTTATATTAATGGGCAACTCATGCTGTAGTTGACACTTGCTATATTGCGTTATGACTCGTGACATATGTCAACAATATCAGGCCTCAGCAATTTATTGTGTGAACAGGTTACGCCGCTCAAGCTCCAATTAAGTACTAATTATTTTTATAATAATAAAAGGGTACTAGTTTATTTAACCAATTAAAATTGGGATTTAATTTAAATATATTTATGGTATAAATTTTTTAATATTTTTATTAAATCATAAATTATATCAATAAAAATTATATTTATGATCTATTTTAATCAATTAATAGTATAAAAATTTTAGTATATTAAAATTAATCTCTTAATACTAAGGAGCATATTTGATTTGTCGTATACCATAATCTATAACAATTTTATATTTATATCTATTAAGATTTACATGATTAGTTATATTGTTTTGTCAATTAAAATAAAAAACAGTGTTATATTAAAATATTAGTGTATGTCAATATATATCACAATAAAACAAATTAAAGTCTACATTACAAGTACGACTTTTGTATTGTTATTGTAATAATTAAATATAGGTTCTCTTTCATTTTTTTTTAATAAAATAACATAGTTATATTAAAATATATTTTTATTAAGTTAAATTAATTGACCTTATAATTAATTATAATAAATTGTTATTTAAGAAAAATTATTATTTTTTGATAATATAAAAAAATATAAATTTGTAATATTTTTATTTATTTTGGGTTGAATTGCAACCAATTCATTTCTTTAAAATTGTTATGTTATAATGTACTCTTAATTTTATGGCATCAAAATAATAAAGAAAAAAAAATAAAAGGCAATAAATAGAGTGAGAAATAAAAAATTAACATTAAAAGATATTTCAAGTGAAAAAAAAAAGTATTAATAATGACTATTAACAAAAAAGAAAAATAAGTAAACAGTAAAATAACATCATTAAATCTAAATTTTTTATTTTAATCTAATAATTATTATTAATTATATGTCTCTCAGCTATCTAATAATAAACTCTTCTCACTTAAAATATTTCATATATATATATAAAAGACGACCCACTCAATGAAATGAAGCCAGAAACATTTGTGTTGATAATCTGATTTTGCACTCACTATCAGCTATCAAATATATTTGCTCTCTTTCTCCGTTTCCATTCTCGCCTCTATCAAATTGCAGATCTACTTAATCGGTATGTCTCTCCCTTCTCTTTATTTTCCGATTTCGTTCACAACTATCTCAATCGCACGATCCATCTCGTGATTTGCAATTCCTTTTTTCATCAATTTTCAAATAATTGCTTGATCCGTGTTTGTTTTACGCTTTTACAAGTTTTGAATTCGATGCTTAGCTCTACGCTCTTTTCTCCCATTCTGCGTTTCTTCAGTTTTAATCTGATTCGTTCTCTGATATTGACTACTTGACCGCATTGATATTGTTGAATTTGGATTATGGCTGATTAACTAGTTTTTCAGTTTATTAATCGTTTAATTTTTGTGTTTTTTCTCTCTATATGTTTGCTTGCAAATATTAAGTCCTTATTTGCTGTCGGTTGTATTAATCTTTTTGATTTTCCATTTTAGTTTCGATTTTTTTGTGATATAGAAATATATTAATCGTTGCATGAGTTCTGTAGTGAACACTGAGAGATCAATTAAAAGATAGTAACATGCAATTTACTTTTGCAGGTTTCAGTGTGGAATTATATAAGCTTAGCTTGTAGATATGTATGTGCTTATGCATTCGCGTTTAAGAATCAAATTACCTGGTGCATTTTCTAATAAGGAAATTTTATTTATTGATTTCCTAACTATTATCCTTATGACGCTTGGTGGCAGGACCTTCTAGTGAGGGCCCTAAAAACACATGATGAGTAATCAATAAATAGAACTTTTCTATTAAAAATCTTAGTAAGAGTGTATGTGCATTACTTATTTTATATATTTTTTATTTTTGATTCTTTAATCAGTGCTCTCAAGACATTGTTCTTTAGTTGAAAATGGGTCCTCTTAATTTGTGTCATAAGATCATTGGTTAAGAACTATTTAATGTATTCTGTTAAATGCTTCAAATTGCTTAAAAAAGAAAGTATTAATTTTTTTTATTTATATTTTTTATGGAATTGTTACTCTCTTTCAATCAAAAGTTTCTTCATTTGTTTTCTTAACTAGTGTCCTTAACATCATTGGCTACAAAGAAAATTGAAACTACAGTAATAGATTTCTGTCTTAATTGTTTTTGTTGTTGTTGTTATCTTTGTGGAGGTGTAATTTTTTTTGGATTGACTCAAGTAGTGTAAAGAATTGTATAATTTGTGATACTGTTGATTTTTTAAAATTGGTGAAATTTATGAAGTATTTTTTCTTACTTTTTATTTTACATGTTTTCTTCTTACTTTAAGAGAGACAAATATCATTTTTCAGTTGGAGGGACAGGGAAGAAGCATACCCATGACACCCATGTGCTGTTTTCGATTTGCTTTCCACATGTCTAAACATATCTCATGTTTTTGTTCTGTCTAGGTTTTTCAAGTAAATGGCGTTGGTCACCACAGCTGAAGTGTGTGATGCAAACCCACAGTTAATTTTGGGTGGGGAGCTTCGTGCCCTTCAGCCAATTTTTCAGATATATGGTCGTCGACAGGTCTTTTCTGGACCTATAGTGACCTTGAAGGTGTTTGAAGACAATGTTTTGGTTCGTGAGTTCCTTGAAGAGAAAGGCAATGGAAGAGTGCTTGTTGTTGATGGAGGTGCAAGTTTACGCTGTGCAATATTAGGTGGCAACCCTGTGGTACAAGCTCAAAACAATGGATGGGCAGGTATTATTGTGAATGGATGTATAAGAGATGTGGATGAGATCAATGGTTGTGATATTGGGGTGAGAGCTCTAGCTTCCCATCCCATGAAAGCAAACAAGAAAGGCATGGGAGAAAAGCATGTTCCCGTAAATATTGCTGGGACAAGGATCTGTGATGGGGAATGGCTTTATGCAGACACAGATGGAATTCTGATTTCTCGAACGGAGCTGTCTGTTTGATTCCAATTCATGAATACTTCTTGTGAGGGCTATATTTATGGGCAGCATGTCCTGGCGTAGTGCTTTCAGTAATTATGCTCTTATTAGCTTCCACAAAATTGTATTGTTATTAATCCCCTTGATAATGAAAGTAGGATGGATTGTATTATCCATTTCATACCAACTTCTACTCTCTTTCGATTTGCTGTCACGAGAACTTTTCCCCCATAATTAAGTTATAACAGTTGTGTCTGTTGCCAAGTTTGGAGAGATCTAAGTGCGAAGTATATACATATTCATATTTGGATAAACGCTGTTATTGTCTTTTGTGTTTTGTTTGTCATAAAATGATTTTACCGGTCTAGACACTGAAATAGGAAAGATAATATCGACATGGCTATAAACTTGGTTAGGATATATAACTCCTTGTCTCTTGCTTCCAAATAGCTGCATTGTAAGGATTTCATGGGCCATTAGCCTGATATAAACATCAATACTCACGTATTTCACCCCCAAAAGTCTCACTTCTTTTCTATATTTATCTCTACAGATTATTAGATTAAAGCTCTACTGCATCAATTTAAACACAATTTAACCATTTTTCGTTCATACAAAACAATACGCCTTTATAAAGTAAATAAAACTCCCTATTAAGCCATGGATTTCTCTTCTTTGTTGCAATTTAATATTGAAGAAATGTTGAAGGGTGGATTTTCCATTGAGGTGATGAATATGTGGCAACGTGACTATGCTCATATTATATTTGGGTATGTATGGAAGATAAGAGTGATGATGCTTTGCTTCGTTGCGTGACATTCGACGCAAATTAAATATATATATTTGGTACTTCATCACGATTCAGATTTCAGGGGTTAAAGTGAGTCACTTGAAGTCTTGAACCATTTTTTATTCGCTGCTCGCTCCTTTTACGGGGTTGCCATCCATTGTGGTCTGTGCATCTCTATACTTTTTCTAACCAGTTCACTGTTCACGTGCCTGATTCTTTAGGACAAGTGATCAATTAATTAATCACACAAAAAATTAGGTCACAATCATATGGTAGAAGTAACAAATTGTCTGCTCAGTCTCAGACTGAAACTGTTGTTGGATCAATGACCCATTGAAAAATTTCATCTTGAACACAGTTAAACGTTGGGTTTAGGTAAGATGAAAGTGGGTTTTTTGCCCTTTTGTAGTTAATTTGAAAACAAAATACCAAAATAGGCATGCATGCAAACAAATTCTTTGTCTGGGGTTCGATGGCCACGTGGCAGTGAAGTCGTCCAGCATAGGGATGACACTCGAAAGATAAAACGTCCAATTACTAGATGACACAGGTGAAGTCGTCCAGAGAAGAGGGACGACACACGTCTGACGTGTCCAACTATGACAGTGTTGTCCATGTTTGAGCCGACACTAACATGATACTGACACTTGTCCTCCTAGGAACTTGTGTTGTTATATTTTGGACGATTTTAATGTCGTTCACAATAGAGACGATTTTAATGTGACTATCGGATAAAAATTTTGATACACTTCTTTGTACAAGTTAGAATGTATATACAAATACTAAGATGAAGCTCGAGAAGAAATGCAAGTAGCCAAGAAGGAAGTGTGGAGCTGGGCAGGAATAACAGTGTGGAGGTGGACAAGAAATAATAACTATTAAGCAATCAGGTTAGATTTTAGGTATTATGAATATATAATTTATTTTTAATAGTTATGTAAAAAATTTATTTTGAATAATAATATTTAATTTATATTTTTAATGGCTTTTAAGTATTAATGTTGTAATTTAATTTTTGTTGTTATGTTTGGAAATAAGGCAGATAACATATAATGTTAAAAATTAAATATTTAAATATTTGTAATTACAAATGAATTTAAAAATATATTTTGTTATATTATAAATTAATTTATAAATAAGCTTGACTTATTTTAAATGCAGGACGAATGAAATTGTTGTTATATTATATTCAAATGGTAGAATATATGAAGAAAATGAGGGTATAATTTTTAAAGGGCAAAAAAAGAGTATTAAGATAGAACTTGGGATCACACTTGAGATGTTTAAACGGAAGATCCACACAAAACTGAAATTGTCAAGTTGTCATGTAATTTTTAGATTAATTTCTCAAATTTTAGTTGGAAAAAATGGTCGATATCATACAACTCTAAATATATGTGATGATGGAGACATAGATTGCATGATAAGTGCGTGTCAACAACCACATCATAGGAATATAGTTGAAATATATGTGAATGTTGCGGTGGGTGAAACATCTTCTGTTGTGACACATCCATTAGAAGTGAATTTATCACTCTCACAACTTCATAGAAGTGATGATGATGATGATTATGCTCAAAGAGAAGGTAATATGAATTTAATAATTTTTAAATTTGTAAAATTGATGCTGCAAATGCTATTAATAATATAAGTTTACAATGTACAGATGAAGATGATGAATATGAATATGAAGATGAAGAAGATATTTTATTAAATAATTTTTCTGATACTGAGACGAATGATGATTGTGATTCAATGATCAATATGGAAGGTATTGTAAGAGATAGTTTATCGCAACAACAACATGGAGGTATGATTTTTTTAGAACTTATATTTGTAGTAATGTATAAATTATTATTCATGGTATAAATTTGACGAATGAATTGTTGTAATGCAGAAACTACATTGCCCTTTTGGAATATAACTCTACATTATAGTCATATTAATTGGGAACACCTTGATGAAGAATTAGATTTTTTTGGAATGAATGAAGCGTAATCATGGAAGGAAAGAGATGCATTATATGTTGGATAACTATTTGATACTAAAAAAGATGTAAGAATGACTATAAAATATCATGCCATGAGGAAACATCAAACTTTTTTGGTGGTGGAGTCAAAAGCAACAACATATGTTGTGAAGTATGTTAATCACAATAGTGGATGTCCCTGGAGAGTTCGAGCATCGTTGCCAAAAAATGCAGACAAGTGGGAAATTATAAAGTGGAGTGGTGCCCATACATGCATAAATGCTTCAATCTCTCAAGACCACCAAAAGTTGGATTCCAAATTTATTTGCTTATGTATTCTTGGTATGTTAAATTTGATATTAAATTTGAAATAGAAAAAATTTACTAATTTTCATCCTATTACATCCCAACAAATTTAAAAAATCGCTCTTAATATATGACATGCAGGTATGGTGAAAGAAGAACCATCAGTGCCTATTTCGTTAATTCAAGAGAGAATTAGTGGTCAATTTGGATATTCAATTTCATACAAGAAGGCATGGAAAGCAAAATAAAAAGCAATTGTTACTGTATTTGGTGATTGGGACGAATCTTATGCTGCATTGCCAAGGTGACTAGAGTACATGCAATTACATGCTCCTGGATCTGTATACAAAATTGAAACAAATGATTATGTTGAAGGTCACACCGTGGATAATAGATATCGAGTTTTTCATCGGTTGTATTGGTCGTTCAAGCAATGTCATGAAATTTTCAACTTTTGTAAGCCTATAATAAAGGTAGATGGAACATTTTTGTATGGTAAGTACCGACAAACTTTTTTAATTGCTACGACTCAAGATGAAAATAATTGTGTTTCCCATTGCGTTTGCCATTATCGAAGGAGAAATCTTATCTGCATGGGAATAATTTTTAGCCATGATTCGTATACATGTGACAAATAAGGCAGGGCTATGTTTGATCTTAGATCAACATTAAAGTATAAAAGGTGTAGTCTCTAACCCACATCTAGGTTGGTAACCTCTAAATGCTTATCATGTTTATTGCATTAATCACATTACAAGTAATTTCAATCGACGATTCAAAAATACCATGTTAAAGAAAAAATTAATTCAATTAAGTACGTATTCTTCCTATTTGATTCATTTAACTTTTAATATATTTTGAATATTTAACCTATGCATTCAAACTTTTTCTGTTAAATGCAAGATATACACCATCAAAACATATTTTTGAATCTAAACTTAATACGTTTCGATCACAATTACCTAAAATTCAAACTTGGATAAATAATATATCAAAGGAAAAGTGGAGTTCGGCTTATGATGATGAAGGATGTCGTTATGGCCACATGACAACAAAATTATCAGAGTCCGTAAATAAAGTTTTGAAAGGGGCAAGAAACCTTCCTATTACTGCCTTGGTCAAAGCTACGTATGCACGATTGGTAGAATATTTTGTGAAGTATGGTGAAACCGCAATGCATGAGGTTAACAATGGAGGAAGATACTGTCAGAAATTAATGGAAGCTATGGAAAAAAATCAACAAGAAGCATCTTCACATCAAGTTCGACGGTATGACATACAAAGAACAAGGTTTGAGGTTGATGAGGCATTTAATCCAGTGACACAAAGGGGTGGTCATAAGTGGACAATCATATTGTCCACACGTTATTGTTAATGCGAAAAATTTAAGGCATTCTGATATCCATGCTCACATGTCATAGCTGTTTGTGCTCATATTAGTATAGATTTTTGGCAATATGTGGATCCTGTTTATACTTTACAGTATGTTGTGAACGCATATTCAGTGGTGACCTCTTGGAAATGAAAGTAATATTTTACATAATAATGAATGGAAGTTAGTAACAGATGTAGAAAGAGCACGAGATAAAGGAAGACCAAAGGCTACCTAAATTAGGAATGAAATGGATTGGGTCGAGTCACCACCACGACAAAGATGTAGATTGTGTCGACAACGTGGTCATAACCAACGTCAATGTCCTCAGCATCATGATCGTAATCAGCAGTAGATGTAAAAAGATGTTGCTTTTCAAGACAAATTGTTGTTGTTAATGTGGATAATGTATTAACGTCTCATGTTGTTAATGTTAGCAGATGTGTTAATGTACTTTGTTGTTAATGTCAATAAGGGTGTAACGCATATTTTCTTGTTAATATTTTAAATAACTTTCTACGGTATAAGGTAATATAGCAACATCCCTTATATATAGATAACATGTGACAGTAATATTAATAAAAAGTGCAACATCAAGTTAGAACTTATACATGAATAAGAACCCATCAATCTGAATCCAAGGATTGGTCTGCATGCCCGGCCTCATGAGGTGTGAGTATGCATTGTCGACGACGATCTCGTGCTTTACGATGAGGGTTGCGACTCATATCTTGTACATCCACATCAACAACAACAATAAAAACTGCATTAAGATCAATGCCATGGTCCGAACCTACTTGGAGTGATGACATTTCCTAACCCTGCCCACTCTGATGACCTCCTATAGCCGGTGCATCAGGTGTAAAGAAAGATGGCTCATATGGAGGAGGTGT